TTATGTTAGCTTTTAATATACGGTTTTATCCTGATTAAAGCTTTAATACAGTAGCAACTGCACGCATGCATGTATAACGCTTCTCATAGCTATGTGAAAATAAGTGTATAATTGGAACAGTTCAGTGTTGAAGCTGAGCTGAATGAGAGAGAGAGAGATGCAGAGCTTGTGCAGAGCAGGGGGACGCGAGGAACCGTGTTAAGAACTGCTGCTTTAGAACATTGATTTTGAAACTTGAGAATCCATTAGAATCGTTAGAATACAGAATCGCGATTCATATATGAATAGATTTTTACGTGCACCGCTAGTTTTCTCTTCCTCTTCTCTAAAGCAGCGCAGCATGGCCTCGCCCCCTTTGCTGCCTTTTCCCGAGGGCGGGGTTTATCTGGGTTTATGACGTAACGAACCCAGGAAGTAACTTGTTGTAGTCCCTTTAACATCTGTGGCAGAGAGGAGGACTCTTAGCAAGCTTTTGTCCATATTGGACAACGTCCATCACCCACTGCACAGTATCATCTCCAGGCAGAAGAGCACCTTTTAGCGACAGGATGCTGTCTTCGTCCTGTTCCACAGACAGACTGAGGATGTCATTTGTCCCACAGGCGATACAAATCTTTAACTCCTCCCTGTGAGCAGGACTTAAACTGGACTGTTTCTGTTGGTCCGCTCTACTATTTGTATCGAATCTTTTTTTGTAGTTTACAGACACTTAACAGTTCATTAGCAGTTGTCTTACCAGTTTAATTCTTAATAAATTAATAAAGTATCTATCTATCATCTATAAATAATTTACTATATGATCCCAAACCCCCTACAAGCTCAGTTTTTGGACCTCGGTATTTCTAAAACCCTGCATACGGCCATGCCTGTAACTGAATCTCTTGGAGAGATGAACTGAAAAATTGATGAAAACGGATGAAAATTTTAGCTAAAATTATAATGAGACACATTGGTCGATATAGCAATGCCAAGGGGAACTTTTAGCGTCTTAATAGTGACACAAAAAGTGCTTGACCTCACTTCAGTTTTTGACACCTGCTGACTGAGAACAGGTCAGATATAAATACAAGAATACTGAACTTAAGTGTAATTAATAGATGTAATGCAAAAGCAATAGTTGTTTTACATCAGATATCGTCTAAATAGCATGTCTCTTATTCATCACTATTACAGTTTAATGGGTTTTATAAATATAAAAAAGTATTCTACATAGACTAAATTTATTTATTTTTTAATTAAAATATAATTTAAGACAATTTATGAATAAGCATAAGAATATTGACTATAAACAATGTGAAGTGATGATATTTTCCAGTCAAACCGTTAGTAGCCATTTTGATATGTCAAGGCCTATCAATATTTTAATGTGCGATTTATTACAGGGCACTAAATGTTACACAGTTATCTCGTGAGACAAGCAGGCAAATTCCAAACTTAATCAATATAATATAACAAGTTAAGTAATAAATAATTTTACAATGTACATTGTAATTATTGGTCATTCAAAAGAACAAATTTGTTAAATATGGTGTACAGGAACCTTATTTGCCATAGATATTGGTGGACCACCAATTTTCAGATTAGTGCTCAATAAATATAGTAAATATAAAGCTCAATAAGATTGTGATAGCTTTATTTATTTAAACAAACATTACCCCAGTCCTAAATCTGTAGCCTAAATCTAAAGTACCAACAGGTAATTACCATTACTTACCAAGCTGAACCCTGAGTGAATACATTACACTAACAATTTATCAACTATTGAGTGGATTCTAGTTGCATTAAACAAGCTTTGTGCCAGCAGTGATTCATTCAAAAGGTTTAAGTGTTAAAGGACAGTGCGAAATGTCTATCTCTCACATTATGAATCTGGATTATGTTTGTGTTGCTGAGACTCTTTCCTGTGATGCTTATAGACGTCTGTAATGAATGAAGCTCAGACAGCAAACTTGAGTCAATGGAGGCCGATGACTCACTGCTCTGACATCACACACACCAAGCGGAGAGAGATTTCTATGGTCGCTATGAGGCATGACGCACACACATACACACATCACTATGAACTGAAGTTCATGGTCTGCAAATCTTTGTTATTCATTGTGTGCTGTCTTCACGTCTTTAAAGGTATTAGTGTTTCTTATTCCTTATGACGCAATGCTGTTACCACAACATACCTCTCAAATGAGATGTCAATAATTACAACATCACTGTCAACCAAAACATTTTCCCCAGGCGTCAAAAAGTTTGTTGACCACTGACCATGCAGAAGCAGGCAAATGTTCTGCTTTCTGGCCTCGTGCATTACAAAATTCCCCTAAACATTCATAGGAATGATGGAAGCATGCATAATTTCAGTGCACTGTCATTGAATATTATTGAAATCAGTCAAAATCAACTGTTCAAGGATGTTGTTTGGGACTTTCAGAATGCAAGACGCAGCAACAGTGAGATCTGTCAGAGTGGCGTAACTGTTCGACACGTATGCAAAGACCAGGGCAGAGGTGCAAAGAGCATTGCTGAACATGCAAATGTCTCTGTAAACAGAGAGAAACTGCCTGTGTGAGTTGAATATCGCTCTCCTGCCGCGTCTAATCTGTTTTATGTGGTTTTATCCATTCACAGACCACAACGAGCCCAAACAGTGGCGTTAGCCATCTCAATCTGTGCAGTCTCTGCCAATCTGACAGCACTGTCTTCAAGAGAATCATGCCCACGTCTACAAGCTGAAGACAGGCCCTCCCTCGCGCAAACGCAAGCCGGCAGACCCTCTCCTCCCGCTGCTGGTTTTCTTCCACCTCCCCCCAATAAGAGCAGCTCTTTCTCTCGGTCTGCAGCAGATCAGACCCCCATCCCCCCCGCTGTGAGCTCCTACCTCGAGTGGGGCCGCTTGCTGGCCAGATCAGAGTCCATGCTGCCCGCCGACTGAGCCATTGGTGAGCTGTAGGAGCCGTAGAGAAACTCCAGCTGCTCACTGCTTCCCTCTTCCTTTGGGGCTCTGAGCAGACGCACTTCAGTCCTCTGTGTGTGTGTGTGTGTGTGTGTGTGTGTGTGTGTGTGTGTTGGCAGCTGCTGAGGAAGTGAGGTATTGTGTCAATAGACCATAAAAGGCAAGTCCCTCCTCTGAGTGACGCTGGTGAGCAGGAAGCAGAGTGTGTGTGAATGTGAATGTAAATGTATGTGCTGAATACACACTTACACAAACATATGCTATATATTTTCTTATGCGCATTCCCCTGCACAATTGTACATTTTGTAATTTATATATTTTTACTTATCTTTATTTTATTATCTCTGTCTTATTGTTATTTTTGTCTGTGCACTGGAAGATTCTGTCACTAAGACAAATTCCTTGTGTGTATAAGCATATTTATATGTGATAAATCACTTTATGATTCTCATAGATCTTGCTTCATGCATGCACCCAAAGGAGCATTTGGTCACTCTTGCTCTGTTGCTCTTTCAAAGCTCAGAAGACTTGAAAATCCTGTCATTATTTACTCACCCTCATGTTGTTTAAAACCTGTATGCTGTTATTTTTCTGTGAAACACAAAAGGATACATTTAGAAGAATCTTAAAAAGTAACAAATGTTACCATGGGTACTGTATTGCATGCATGTTTATGCATTCAGCAGAAGTTTTTATCCAAAGCTATTACAAAAGCAATTCACCAAAAAGCCAACAACATTCACAATATACTGCACAATGCTAGGTCTATTAGACAACTAGATTAGGAAGCAAGCTAGAGAAGAGGAAAAATGCAAAATAAAAAATAGAATTATTCCAAGTGTTCTGAAGTCATGCAATATTTTTTGTTTGAGTAACAGGCCCAAATTCCTTAAATCACAGTTTACCGATAATCATCCACACAGCTGGTGCAGGTGTCAAATGTATGGATCTCATAGAATTGTGAGCTATAAACTTGCAATTGCAAGAAAAAAAAGGTAGTATTGCAGGGCGAACGAAACGAGAGATGTGCGGATCCATTTGCAAAGCTTTAAAAACAAACTGTATCCACTGTTTACATAACGTTGGGTTCTTTAGGAAGCTGAACAAAGTTATCTTTCCAAAAACACACTTCTTTGGACTCAGAGACATTCTTCCCGAGCGAGTCCCATGCAGCGCTGCCGCCAGATGAAGTGCGTTGATGGGCGCGATCTCGGTCTGGCTCTGGTCGATGCGTGCGCGGGCGCGCTCTTCCGGGAGAAATGCACATATAAGGAGTTCCACCCTCGTCTACGTCATGAAGAGCCACAATGGAAAAAAACTCTCCGAAACTTGTACGAACCCGGTCGATCTCCGGCGAACAATGTCCAAACAGGGTAATCCAAAGGGTTAATCCGAAACACAGGCAATGGTCCAGGCGAGGGGTAAACAGTATCCGAACAGGGCGAGACGAGAGGGTAATCCGAAAAACACAGGCAAGAATCAGAACACGAGAAAACAGGCAAGGCAAGACTATGACTAGACTATGGAAACTAGAACTAGAAACTTTGACAGGGAACTGGCTCCGTAAAGTAGCTATCAGCTGAAACAGTGATAAACACAAACAATACTCGGCCCCGAATAGTGGTTAGGGCCTCGTATTTAAAGTGTGTGTGATTGGTAGCAGCTGTGTGTGTAATCAGTGCAATGGAGGATGGGAAATGTAGTCCGGGATGACATGCAACAGTTTGGTGTTGTGTGAGTCAATGTAACGGAAGGGTGACCTCTGGTGGCAATCGGACGGCAGACCATGGACATGAGTCGAGTTTATATCCCATAATTCTCATAATTCAAAGTCAATATACCTTTTTTATTTTATTTATTTATTTATTTTATTCCATAGCAGAAACAGGCCTCCATACAAATCTCATTCACATTCAGATATAAAAATTGTGTCGATGTGCTGCACCAACATGACAAATCTCTCTCTCGTGACAAAATTCTCTTGGTACTTGCATTAACATATGTGGAGAAAGAAACTGGAGGAGAGTTACAGTCCGTTAATTACAAACCACATGCATATATAGCATATGACTTTAGAACACCAGGAATATAGTGCACAAACATATTGGTCAATATTATGATCTTTTAAATGTGTTTTCTTAGTTCTTTTTTTAGCTTCAGAGGTGTAGTTATTGAATGGAAAAAAAGCTCCTACAAAAGTTCTAATTTTGCATGCCACAGAAAGGTTTGGAATGACATGAGGGTAATTAGAAACAAATTTTCATTTTTGGGTGAACTATAGCTTTAAATGTGTTTTCAAACATTTTGCAATTTAGTATCTAATCTTATATGTTGTGTCAAATAAAAAAGCAGAAACTAATGAGTCGATCTGTTATAGATCTATACTTTTACTGTATGACATTAATGTGGAGATCCTTTAAACTTGGGAGAATTTGACGAAGGTTTGTATTGAGATCTTAGACTTTTGACATTGGTATCTTTGAAAGCCAATAGAGATCTAAAAGAGATTTCAGCATCTGATATTGTCATGCAGATCTGTTGTATTTAGTGTACACACTGCCTGAGTGTTTGTCAACCCCTCATTTCATAACGCTTTCCTCAAACCCTCAGCAAAAATGAGAAAAACAAAATGTACATCAAAGGTTTGGTCTGTCAACAGATGAATGAGATGGAGAGAGGACACGCAGGCTTTGATTTCAGAAGCACACATTCATCTCAGCCCTCATGTCTGACAGCGTAATCATATCCACAAGCTAATGTCACCTTGAGCTAATTTGTGTTATGATCAAAATTAAAAGGGCGGGAAATGGTACTGTTTGTGCCTGAAAATCCTGAACAGATTCTTAAACTATTTCCACCAAACCTAAATGATGTATGTGCTTATAGCCTTGCAAAGTACCTAGAGTTGTTGTTTTTTGTTTGTTTTTTTACTGTTACGAACCATAAAAAGCCAATCCATAAAAGACTACATTATTATAATTAAATCATCACATTTCTTTTTCAGTGCATGTTTTGTCCCATGGTACTGTCACTGTTTTTCAGGCTTGAGTGTTTCAGGTTTGAAGGTCAGTGCAAATATGTCTAATAATGGCTTTATCTAACAAAAATCATTGCACAAGGACAATGTCTGACATTTCTAAGCATGCAGCGAAAGCCTGAGGTGTTTATTTCAATAAAGCATTTTTAAGGTGCATTCAGTAGTAGTTCAGCTAGCATTTAAATGCAATGCCACTGTGGTATTGGTACTTAAAGTATATGTACTTTAAGTACCAATACCACAATGTCATTAGACACCAATACACTTTCATGACATTATTTGAATTATACATGTTTGGGCTGAGTTTTCATTGCATTTAAACTGTTTAAACAGCAGGTGGTGCTAGCCTGTGGTCTTTCAAGTTTTTCAAAGTGAATCATTTTATGATGAATTGGTTCAGGTGATTCAAAGTTTTGAGAAGCTTTGTATCTGTCCATCACTAATCTATTGATGTAAATTGCACTGGTACTATTGTGTTTTACAGAGTGGTAAATTTCCTTACCTGTCAAACAGAGAAGAAGCAATTTGGGCGTCACTACTCAGGATTTTCTCCATACAGCTTCAGCCATCTTGGCTGTCTGTCTTCTGTCTTCAGAGTTTTTCTGCTTATTCGTCTGAAAAGATGATTCTCCCATTGTCTGTCGCTGGTAAAGTGCGATAAGTGTATTGCGTAGTACAATTTTCACTCTTCACATCAGCAAATGACACTACGCTACTATAGTGTAAATTCTCTCTTCGGGTGCATCTTAATCAGCTCCCTAGGTCAGTAGTCAGGGCATTGATCAGGTAGTCAGCCATTTTAAGGGCTACCTCAATCGCAAAATCCTTTCAATGCACTGGAACTTGTGCTTTTGTGGGAAAAATCCCACAAATAATCGCAAAAACTAGGGAGCACCAATGCTCACTATGCTCCCTTACCGGAAATTACATCACATTTCTGAAGCGCGAAACATAGAACACACAAGCAAAAACTATAGAAATACAACGATGGTTCAATCTTGGTACTAATGAATAGGAGAAACTGAGAACTGCAACGTGCAATATAGCAGAGTAGTCCCACCTTCTGAATAAAACAGCCAATGGCTGATTGGTAAAGTCATTGCGTCACTGCAGCTACCATTACAAGCTCCGGTTCCCATAAAAACTTGACAGACTCGCGCTCATAGACATGTCATATCTATGCTCGGCGGCCTCGTTTCGCTTTGACGGCTTTCCGCCTCACTCTGCTTCATACTACGATGTTAATAAATCTTTAAAGGGTTTGTTCACCCAAAAATTCTGTGATTAATTACTCACCCTTATGTCGTTTCAAACCCGCAAGACCTTCGTTCATCTTCGCAACACAAATTAAGATACTTCTGATGGAATCTGAGAGCTGTCTGACCCTCCATAGACAGCAATACAACCCATAGCACATAGCCGGGAGGGTGAGAGTGAGCGTAGGTTACGTCGAAAGATGACATGTGGAGGGGTAGCTAATGCGAATGCTCCACTCGTGTAGCACTCATGCTCACCGCAAAAGCAAAGTTCGCTCAAATATCGCACTGACAGGAAATTTCTATGTAGTTTACTTGTTCATGTTTGCAATAGCGTAAAATAATCCATGTGACATCAGTGGTTCTTCTGCAATTATACGAAGCTACGAGAATACTTTTTGTGCGCAAAAGAAAAAAAAACTACTTTATTCAACAATTTGTCTCCTCCGCATCACCCTGTAGCGCCATTTTGGAGAATATCCGCTGGACGTAAACAACGTATGCTGTTCTGTGTCAGCTGCACCTTCTGCCCTCTAGCGGTGAAAACTTACATATTGTACCTTTAAGACTGCATATGTGTAGTGGATGGTCTAGCTTGAAAAATAAGCTTTTTAACGCTTTTTAAAGGAACAGCATTCTTGGGGCAGTTCATTTGAGATTTTGTTGCTGAAATATGTAATTTAATTAACCTGATTTATTAATAAAGTCATGTAAATGCAGCTTACTTGCGTTGTCAGGTTACTGATGTGCATGTAATGTGTGTGATGTGCATTTAAACGGGGAAAACTGGTTAAT